ATTAAATACAATTACAATCTGAATTGGCATGGCCAATGCCTAACGCTGACGAGATGACATGATAAGATTAGTAGCTTTATGTCTCTTTTGGATCTACCTAATGGGCAGTAGCGCCGGCGTTTTCAGACGCGCCGACGTCGCCGCCGCCGCCGATTCTTTTTCAAGTTGACCACGCCGCCGCCGCAAAGCCTGTCGGCGTAAACCTCTAGTATGTACATAGAAAGTGAAGGATGTTAAAGAGATTTATGATTTTTCCATAATTCACTACTCCAAAAGTTATTCAAGGTTAAAGTAGAACATTTAAAAATTGTAACGACTTTCTTCCAAGTTTCTGCGAAATATTTAAACTTATCAAGAAATATCATACAATATTTTTTGGAAGTATGTACTATCATTTTTAATTTCACTTCAAAGCTAGTTATCTATTAAATTTCAAAATTGCCTACACACAGTGCCTACGACATTTTCCAAGAGATTTTGCAAAAAAGTACATTTTTTGAACCAGTCCAATGTACATACATACATCCATACTTATGTGATAAATTTACAACCAGTAGCTGCCTTAAAGCAGTCATCAACAAGCTAGCTGTAGGCACTCACTAGTTGGGTAAGCTCTGTCCATAACTTTTATGTAGACGATAGTCGGAGCAGCCTTTTCTTGTATCCAGATACACTGCTAGTAGACGGTGTTAAGTGTTTGGACGATTGTGATAACAAGGAGCAATACATACTGATAGTGTACAAATAGTGTACACATGCAAGTACATACTTGAAAATGGGTACAAATATATGTATATACATATGTAAATATATATCTATGTATATCAATGTATATAAATGCGTGTATAAATGCTTTTACGATTATCGCTATAGTAAAGTAAAGAATTCTATCTAGTTAGGAAACGTACAGTTTACTATATTTTAAGACTTTCGCCAAAATATTTCGGAAATATATTAAGATTTACGCGAGCTGGACCTATTTTAAAATACCTCAAAAATCGTGATGCACCCTAAAGTACATACTATATACATATGTATGTATGTAATGTTGTTATGGAATATGGAGAAAATGTATATTTGTGCCCGCAACCGCCTTGTCGACTCGGAGCAAGTAAGAAATTCTGAATGGGAATAAGCTAACGTCCCCCTACTCTACCAGGACGAGGTTAGAACAGCAATAAAAAGACTTAAAAACAAGAAGGCTCCCGGAGCCGATGAAATACCAGGCGAGCTGTTTAGAGCCGGTGGCGAGGAGCTTGTAAAGCACATGCGCAAGCTTACAATTTCACTGTACTTTGCCCAATTCACAAGAAAGGATGTCCTACTGATTGCGCTTTTTACCGGAGTATAAGAAGGTCATGAACCATCAGTTGGGCCTTATCTATGCATGTGGCTTCAGAACTGGAAAATCTACCATAGAACAGATTATTACAGTTCATCAGATCCTAAAAAAATCGCTGATGGGCAAATCGACGCACATCTCCTTTTCGTCGACTTTATAGCTAATTTTGACAGCACGAAAGGGAGCTAAAGATTCATCTCCCTTCATTGGAGGCTAAACTATGTTTTAGGCAAAGTGACTCACTCTCTTGTATGTTGATGAAATTGGCTCCGTTCACCTAAATTTCAATGCCGCCAGGAGAGCAGTTTTCAGATTAGATAAGAAGGAAAAATAGGTGGGTTTTGTGGTGAACATGAAACGAGTCAACGTACCACCTGGAAACAAACAAAGATCTTCGGACATTGGGGCGCGCATCACTAACTATTGGCAGTTGCAACTCTGAACAAGAGAAGGACTTTGTCTACCTAGCAAAACCAGCATTAAAACCACCAATTATGTTTGGAGTTCAAGTGCTTGGACTGGTTAAATGATAATTCGTTACGGCATTCCTGGGTGGACAACGAGAGCAAAGGCGCCCACGACCACGATGGTAGGATCGAGTGCAGACGGACCTGTCTATACTTTGTACCATCCATACTTGGTGTACTATCTGAGGAGAAGGAGAAGAAGGTTATCAGATGCACTGTCAATAAATGTTACGTGTAGTCGGAGCTCAGTGAATTGTGGACTCCGTACGAGTAAGAAGATCCCAGTTATTTCTTCGCCTCTTAACAACTTTCAGCCGCTACCTTTCCGAACCAAATCGAGCCAGGTTAAAGAAGATAAAACCCTACAGCATCTATAACCAGCGTTCGGTAGACTTCCTCTTAGCTTATTTGGTTAAAAAATCAACTCTAAAGAAGATTTCGAGTCATCGAGTGAATGCACTTTGACGCCCGTAGAAGATATGTAGATATCTAAACCGAACGCTTCCAATAAAATCAGAAAGACTATAGGGGGTAGATAGTGAATGTGCTCATAGGAGACCACATTAGGTCTATGTTACTATCTCGTCTCTGAGAAATAGCATGGCATTCGTTGGTGTGGAGACGTGTCAATATGGCCGAGTCACAGAAACGGCAGAGATCGTTTGGCTAAGTGCCTAAATTGCGCAAGTGCCCGATGAAGGGATTACGTCTGCCCCAGTTATATAAATTAAGCAACCAGAGCATTTGTATACATTATCTTCAATTGTTGGGCCATAGATGACGTACAACAAAGCGCACTGTTACCGGGGTGTGTGGTATTGCGTCTTTGGCGTCAACCTATTGAGACGTATAGCTAAAGAGCAAAAGGTCAGAAAAAAACCATCTCTCGCATCGAAACATTAAAGAATTTTTTTGGAGCTTTTTCTGGTTCTACATACCTCTATACATAACCACATAGTAGTATACATTTTATTATCAACTGAAGCTCAGAGGAATCATACATATGGACTTATGGTCTGATTATGCATACTTCGCACAACTTCGCATAAACTTCAAACTGTAGTTTCGTATGTACATACTTTGTAGTATTTTGTATGTATTCCATTACCCAGAAATTAGCAGAACTTTTAAAAACTTAGCCATCTGTTGAGTTTAGATTTTGCTTCACATTTTCTTAAGTTACGTATGTATGTATGCGAAGTATGCATAATCAGACCTTTACTCATAACAATTTTTTTTTATTGAATTCCATATATGTATGTATGTATGCATTTATGTCTCCACATACACAACCAAAGCATGACAAATGCACCACTAAAGTCAAAACGTACATAAATACATATGTATGTTTATTTCCACACTTCAAAAATCAGAAAAAAACTCGACGCTGAGCAACATAATACCGCAACAACAAGTATAACCAACAAAACAAAAAAAAAATTAACAAATAAAAAAGCGCCTTGATTGCATATTTATTTATCAGCGTTTGATGTGTTTACTTATTGTTGCTTTTGTTACTGTCTCTTTGCGTTAGCTGTTTCTCTTCTGCATTTGCTGGCATCGTTCGTAGTTGGAGCGGCCGCTCATCGACAACGGCGCTCCAACGCTTTCGTTGCGTTCACGAGCTTGTTAATAAAGATTCGTTTTCTTTTTTTTTTGCTCTGATGATTCTTGTTATACGAGCAGTGCTGCCAAACATACATAGGCTTTTCCTACCAAAACTAGTAGGCTTTTCTCCATTTGGTAGGTTGGTAGGCTAGATTGGATTTTGGTAGGCTCCGCACAATAATAGTTATTTGCGAAAAATATAAAATATTTATCTCCAAACATTTTAGCAACCTTGTTTACGCGAATATTTCGCCGGTGGGGTCCACCATTGTCCACCTGACAGGGACTTCATTGTAAGACTTGAGGAATATGACCAAAACTAACCTGTTGGTCTTTCAATATGGTAGTAGATAAATATTCAGTTGATATGCACTACGACCAGGAGATCTATTGTGCCCTCAATATGGTAGTAAGACCCATTGTCACATGTGCGGTACTGGCCTGGTGACCAAAAGCTACGCAAGTAAAGGCGTGTTCCACCTCTAAAAAACTGCACCGACTGGTCCGCGTGGCCATTACACGAGCTATGGGCACCTGTCCAACGGGTGCCCTTGGTATCATTACAGGCATTCTTCCTTTGTCTATTCTGTTTGACAAATAGGCCTGATGGAGCGCCCTATGACTGCCCAATATGATCAGCAACAAAAATTTGGAATCTTGGGGTCGTTTAGAGGTTCTAAAGCCATTCCCGGATAATCCCTAGTTATCCTTTAACAAACCTTACAAGATCAGAGTTCCTGAAAGGGACTGCTGTGAAGTGATAATAACTATTATTGACGAAAAGTCCCAAGCATGGTATACCGACATATCAAAGATTGACGACGAGAGTACTGGGGCAGGCGAATTTTGACCAATTTACCCATACCCAACTACATTCCAGGCGAAAGTCTTCGGAATCGAAGTCTGTGTAGAAAGACAAATATTATGTCGGATAGTCAGACAGGCCAAAGACTTAGACTCTTTTAAACGGCAGCAGGCTTGTGGAAAGCTTTAAAACTTGCTTGAACCACTTGAAGCTTCCACGGTAACGTAACGCTGTGTGGGTTCCGGGACATGAAAGGTTTGAAGGCAACAAAAGCTGACTGTCTGGCAAAGCGTGGAGCCCAAATGTACTTGCATGGTCCCTAGCTTTTTGTGAGCTGGTGGAGAAAACCCCAGAGCATATTTTATGTGACTGCCCACGAATCATAAATAGCAGACTGATACACTTTGGTGAACGGTTGTTCATCCAAAATTTCAAACATGGTGCCCTTCAAAGTGCCTAACTTCTTAAAGAGAATATTAAAAACTTAAATAAAATTTTGGTAGATTTTGGTTGATTTTGGTAAGAAGTTTTGGTAGGGAAAAAAATTTGGCCGTGGCAACACAGTATACGAGTGCAACGCACTCGGCGTAAGCAAAACGAACTGGCACGACCATAGCTATGCATTCGTTGGCGGCGCCGCTCGCGTAGCGCTGACAAGAGCTTTGCGGCTAACGGCTGTGGAAGCGGAGAGCCACTTGTAGGCAGCTTTTTCTGGCTGTATTTTTTTGCTTCTGGTACGAAGGATATTGTCAATAGACTGGAGGTTAGAACTGCTTGCTATCACTTGGTAGGGTGCAGGTTCGATACATTGTCCGATTAGGATCAAATACATACATATGTTCTTTCTGAAAGCTATCGAGCCTGGGCAGCCAACAGTTAAGCTCCGATGATGCTTTGACTAAGAAGAAGCTTCTCCTAAAACGCCCTATCTCGGAGGTTGCGTAAAAATGCAGGCCACTATATTTGTGTGATACGTTTCAGGTGCAAATCACAAATTGAAGGAGGAACTTAATATTTCCTCCATGGCATTTAGTTCAAATCGCTATATACCCCTTCTCTTACATTTATTTTAATGAATTCGCCTTGATTTTACATAAATATATGGCAACCCAAAAAGCATTATTGCCCAGAGCGCGTAAAAGTAACAGCGCGCCAAACGCCCCGACCGCAGCGCTAAAACCCACCACGGCCGCAGCCGCAGCCACAGACGCGCCCCAAACCGTCGCTACAGCGAGTGTGAATCAAGCATAGAACAGCGTCTACGCTTAGTTAGCGCAGCCCAACGATCATAAGCATAGGCTAAACGAAACGAAAAACGGCGACACCACCAACGGTATCGTGCAAAAATATCGCACGACAAGCAAAATGAGCCATCGCGACGTGACGATGGCTCCACTAACAAAAAACAAAAACCAAATAAAAACGATAAGAGAACCCATCAACTGGTGGTGACCGAGTGAACGAACGAATCGCGTCGAGCCGCAGAACAGCAACCACAATCAGTCTTCATTGAGCGCTCGCTTTTTGAGTTACTGCAAACGGCTGTCGGTTTGGCGTTCCACGCACGCGGTCGGCACACACGCAACGGGCGCAAAGCTACACACTAGGCAAATATTAATCGCGTTTACCCGTTGCAAAACTCTATTAAATATTTATTGCAATTTAAGTACTTGCAAGTAACTAACTAATGGCTGCCGCGTAGCACAGCAACGGAAGTGAACGATGAAGTTGAAATGAACGACGAGTGCACAGAACCAAAGGTGCAGTGTATGTGTGTGTTAGGCGAGTAAAGCATGTAAGTTAAGGGAAGAGGTAGAAGAGAAAGAGAGTGGTTGCGATACAAAGATGAAGTGTGTCAGAGGAAGAGTCGCACGAAACGCATTGAAATGAAACGAAACGCAGCGTTGCACGGTGCGTCTGAGACGACAGAGGAAATGCAATCAGTGAGCACAGCAAGACATTGATAGCCTCTATGTTTAGGCGTGCGTGTGTATGTTTTGTGTGTATACAAAGTTGCAGAAAAGCGGCTTGCAGGCGGCAGGTGCGTACAAAAATGCAACTCGAATGTGTGAGCAGTGCAATGAGCGGCGCGTGTTAGCGATAAATGAGCGGCTGCTACGCGCTCGAAGTGGCTTTGGTTTTATTAGCAAAATATGCAGCAATTGCTAGTAATATTGTGTCAGTAGCTTTTGAAAGGAAGCGTCTGTGTGTGCGTCAATAAATAATGAAAAAATATGTACTTATGTTCAAGCGCAGCAATCAAATTCTCACAATTATCTGCAATACCATCGCAACAACAAAAAATCCGCAGAAACGCTTTCAAACTTTGTACTATAAAGTATAAGAATATGTAGAAAAAAGCTTTTCTCACTATACCTAGTTATCAACAGCAACAAATACATACATACATATGTACATATCGCAAGTCTATACCCAGCCAGCAAAGAAACGTAAATTTTGCCGACAGTGCGGTTTGTTTCAATTTTCCGTATCCGAAAACGCATACAAAAAACTCCTACAGTTATTATCAATTCTCGTATCCGGAAAACGTTCGAGAAAGATGATGTAATTTGAAAGCAATAATTGTATTTTATTTGCTCAAGCTAAACATTTGAAAGCACGCATGCGTAGTCGGCAGTGGCTGAGCGTGCCGAGGAGTGTGCCGCTGTTTGTTAGCTTCCAGAAGGTGCCGAGTTCGAATTCCGTTAGGCGCTTCCTGATTTTATTTTATTTCTTTTGAACCATGAAAAAGTATCTGTGAAGTGCAGAAGGAAAGCATATTGAACGAAAAATTCAATCAGACAAATTTCAGAAAAAAAGCAGACGAAAACTTATCCTTTTCTCCACCATTTTCGGTACTTTTCTGTACATACGTTCCTGCCGCACACTTTAGTGGGAAAACGGGTCATTAAAGTATCCGGAAATGGTATCGGTAAACGGGCAAAAATCCCGGTTTTCGGATTTTTTGCTGGCTGGGTAGCTTCACTTACAGCTGCTGGCCAAGTATTGGCTGTTGCTTTGTTTTCTAAATTTATTTTTCTCTCGTTTCTTTTTTTTTTTTAAACAAGTGTTAAGTAAGCGCATACTTGACGCTTAAAACAGCAATTACAACAACGCCAGTTATGAAAAATAAATAAACCATTTGGAAAAGCACACTTCCAGCCATAAGAAGCGTGCGTGCTTCTACAAACATGGATGTGTACATACATACATAGGTACAACTCACCTACCGACACACACGCCACTCATTTGATTGTCTGTGCCGCTTAGTGACCGACGCGCTGATTGACTGTGTGACTGACAAGCATAACGATTGATTGTTAAACACCGCGTACATTTGATTGTGACTGATTCCGACTGATTGCGACTGAGTTAAGTCGCCGATTGGACGAGTGGCCGGCCGTTAGCGTCGGCGCGTCGTTTGGCTCCAAAGACTATTTAGGTTTCTTCATGCGACGCGACGATTGCCGATAGACCAACAATCGGTGTGATTAAAACTCTGTGTGCGTGCGTACGTGCGCAGAAACGCAAGCAGAACCCACAGCAGGCGACCAAAAGTTTATAAAAACAAGTAATTCTTAAGCAAAAAACAAAACCGACTTCAATTCTCATATAAAAATTTAAGATTATCGTTAATTTCTTCACGATCCGATTATCGAATCTAGACAAAATTAGTGTTGGACCACCCTCGAAGTACCATCTTTCTGATGAAAAAAGAATTATCGAAATCGGTTAACGTGGTCCCACGATACCGCGCCGTTAGCGCCGCGCAAATGGAATTTTAAATTTTGCTGGCGTTGCGTGTTGAAGTTAGGTGCAGAAGACAGAAATAAAAGAGAGGAAGCAAGTGAAAGAAAAACGAGAATGAAAACAAGAGGAAATGAGAAAACGTCAAAAATTCGTCTTCCTCTTATTTGACGCTGTAACCGCCTAAGCGATTTGAGCCGAGTTGAACGCCAGTCGTTTCTGTGCCAACTGACGCCAACTGAAAATGCAAAGTGAAGCCAGGTCCTTCTCTACCTGGTATTTCCAACGCAAAGGAGCTCCTTCTCTTCTTCCGTTACAAGCATCGCCATCCGCGGTGAATACTTTCAGCGCTAGAGCGTCTCTGTTCATTCGAACGACATGTCAAAAATTACGCCGCGTTTATTTGGGTATAGCGCGCTAGCACTCCCAATGCTTAGCGCTCAAATTTAGGGACGTCTGTTAAGCAAGTGGAATGCGGCGGACACAGTGTGATGAATTTAGAAAAGAAAAATGTTTTTAGAAAATTTGTTATGAAGCTCAATTAATGAAAAAGGGGTAAGGAAACAATGAGAGAAAGACATGGGCACGCTTTGATCTTGCGTGAAATGAACAGACCATAAAAACCCTTGAAAACCAAACTAACTGAAATGAGAGCATTAACTATATTAAACCGTTGTGGCACTTCCATTCCAATAGGGGTTTCAAAAGGAAGAACAGAGCGCTCGTCTACTGACGGTGACGGATGGCGTTACTAGCTATACAAATGGCTCGGAAATAGAGAAATGAGAGAGTGCTGCTCTCTGTTGAGGTGGCTTGTAGATCAGGCTATCATATGGTTTGCCTGGCATCTGTACTATATTTTAAGCAGAGGTATTTTTACCACAGTGGAGAGGAAGCTGACACTACGGAACAGTAGGACTATATTAGAAAACGTGACTACTTTCGTTGAGGCCAATGATAACCATCAGTTACCACCTCTGCATGCAGAGTCGCTACGGCTCATAGCGCTGTGGCTTTGCCATTTAGAAAACTACGGAGAAGTTTTCGGCGGATGCATCAAGTGAGTTTGTGTAGCACCGATTATTTATTTACACAGAGATATTAGAAGGGCAACTGTCTGACTACTATAACCATTCCTCAAGCAGTAATATTGATCTACTCTGTCACGAAAGCTCCAGAGCTATAAAATTTATGAATAAAAGCACGTGGTAAACAAGGCGATATCTGCAGTTCTCAAAAGGCTTAAGAACAAATTGAGGTTTGTATGCACTTGCCAGCCCTTTTGGGCTCAACGTGCTCTGCTTGTCGTATGACATGGGTTTGATCGCCGGCTGGAGCAATGCTCAATTAATCTAGGCCTGAGCGGAGGTCTTACTCCCCCCATCAAATAAAATATTTTATTTCTGTTGGCTGTGTGAAGGAGAGAGAGGCTGCAGAGGTGGTGAAAAAGCTGACGACATGACCGATAAAGACGGGCACGAAGACGGTGCGCTGCAGCGACTGGTACTAGCATCAGTCGATGAACCGTGGACGGGCTGGTGAATCGCCCGATAGTTTATGACAGCGGCGCTGGTGAGGGTGGTGACTGGTGGTTGTGTTCGGGGATTGTCCGGTAGTTCTTGGCAACAGTGAGACTACTGTAGGGCGTTGGTGTTGGCACTTAATTACCGACAATTTTGAGGGATATCTAACAGATGTCTGACCAAGTAATCATGGGAAAAAAGAATAATCAGACGACATCGGACATAATTCGATCAGACATGTCATTAGTTCAGTGATTATCAATACACTCAAGCTTGTTACCGAGATATCTAATATCCAAAGCTCGTCCTGGAGCAATTTTTGTTGAAGTCGTCGGGATGTGAAACAGAAGAAAACCGTAAAACACTTTTGGCTCAGTGAAAATTCTCTTAAGGTCATAGATAATACCAAATCACCAAGATCGTAGACGTAATAGCAATTCCTTTTGGGAATATGTAGATATTTTTAAAAAAGGGTATTGTCGGGATATCTCTTAACCTAACCAGCTTCAGTGAGTCTCTTCCTCCATGCAATTTTTGAATATTTTCATGCGCTGTCGTAGAATTTTTTTTCTTTAATACATAGTTTGTTTTCGTTTTCTTAGTTGTGCGCGGCTTATCACTATTTTTTCACAAAAAAAAGTAAGCAAATACTCTGAAAATAATTTCAGTTCCTTATGAACTTCTTATGCTTGCACAAAGACAGAAACTAATTGCGGATAGTAAAATATTTACCAAAACTTTCCATTCATTAAAATTTTATTGCTAACATTTTTTTTTATTTTTTATTACAGATTAATTGAAAGAACGAAGTGCAAAGCCTATGAAGAAATGCAATTCATAACAAACGCTAAAAAATACGAACAAACTTTTTATACTTAAGCTACACGCATCGCCGACCAGCCCAACAAAAACCAAAACATATCAGCAAAATATTAGAATGCAAAAGTAATTTCATGCTGGGTATAAAATAAATAGGATTAACTGCGGGCATTAAAGCATGTGAATACAAGAACAACACCAACAACAGATTGCATCTCATCAGCTAGAGAAAAAAACGAAAAAAAACTACGTATTACCGTAAAATTTATGCGTACGCTGACGTTTTGCAAACCGTTAGAATATTTCACACGCTCCACACGCTGACAGCATAGCAGCAGCAAGTTGAGTGCAGAGTTGCAATTGGCACGTACAAGAAGTTGCTGTGCAAAAGCAAAAGGCTACCAGGAGAGGAAGAGAAAGAAGAGAAGAAGGTGAAGCCTTCCAAGCAAAGTAGCCAGCAGCTAAGCGCGTTCTAAGTGCATTGGCAGCCATTTACAACGTCCAACAAAAGAGCTATTGTAGGTCTGCATACGCCGCGCGTCTGTGTATGGCTCTGAATGTGTGTTTGTATGCCTGTGCGAATTGCAGGCGAAAAACAAAAAAAAAAGCGAAACGTGAAACCAGTTACTTGTTGCAGTAGTATTGAACCCTTCCGTGCAAAAAATAAATAAACAAACAAAACAAAAAGACAGCAGGTTATTAAGCAAGGCAGCCAGCGGCAGGCCAGGCGGAAGGCAAGCGGTGAATTTCGGAAATTTGCAAGGCGCAAGCAACAAAAAGAGAAGCAATAACAAGAAAACAAAGACTCAGAACCAGTCAGAAGCTAAAAGCTGTTTGTTGCTGAAGTCTGGAAAAAAATAAAATTAAAAATTAAAATAAGCAATGAGTGGCCAACCACTGCAGTTTGAGTAGCAAGCAGCAAAACTAGCGGCAGTGTTGGCAGTGGAGCAATAGTGGCATTTGTGGCAGCGCGACAGCAACACCGTGCAAATCCCAAACAGCGGAAATCGAAACTCAAATAGCGAGAAGAAGAAGCAGCAGCTGAAAAGTTTGACTTTCAACTTGGCGAATGCGGAGTGCCGACGGTAATCGGGCAAAGGAACATTTTGGATTTAGTTTGGTGAATTGTGTGAAAAAGTGACGATATTTTAAAAGTTGATGTGGAATAATACGTATGTAAAACGCAAGGCGTAGCGAATGAAAAAATGCATTTTTAAATTTTAAATCTGGCGTAAACTAGAAAATTTTTGTAAAAAATTCCACGTCAGCGGCGAATTGTGGCATTGTGCGGTAACTGTCAAGCGTAGCAGAAGCAGCATGCGAAAACAAGTAAAAGTGTGAAATAAAAATTAAAAATTTTTTAAAACGATTTGCAAATAGTTTTGAAGGACACAATTTTATAACGAAAAATTCGAATTTTTGATAATGGAATTTTTATGGGTATAAAATAGCGAACATTAACAAAAAAAATATTTAACAAAATTTTTGCCTATTAGCGTAGAAAATGTGCAGTAATTTTTATGCTGTTGCCGTTGTGTGTTTTTAAGCAAAAGTTTACAACAAAAAATATATGCAAAAAAGTGATTGATGTGTGAAATTTGAAAAAAAAAAATTATTAAAAGCATTTTAAGTAAAGCGACTGCGAGTGTGGCGAAAAAAAGTATTAAATAGAAAAGCGCACGCAAAAAAAAAAACAAAAAATTTAAAAAAACATTTAAAAATCTGATAAAATCACTGCTAATGCATGCTCAGAATCGTGAAAAAAAGTAGAAATTAATAGCGCACGAAAAGAAGACTCAAGCGTAGCGCAGTCGCACGGTGTAGTGAAGTTTATGTATATTTTAAAGTTTTGTATTACTGAACGATTGCATAAAAAATGAACTGAAAATGATTGCTTAAAAACATGGACACATTTAAATTTAACTTAAGTTGTATTTGAGAAAACAAAAAAAAATTTATTCGCAAATCCTTTGAAAATATGTGCGCGAAATCGTGTATCTAATATCGTATTTTTGTTGAACAAGAAATGGTAAAAAAGTGAGCGCGTTTTTATAAAAAAAAGTGATTGAATAAAAAACCGTTGAAAAATAAAAGATGCTCAATCGGTTAAATACGAATTTTTTAAATAAAAATATGCGCGCGCCGACAAGTTTCAGCGTAGANCAAAAAAAAAAACAAAAAATTTAAAAAAACATTTAAAAATCTGATAAAATCACTGCTAATGCATGCTCAGAATCGTGAAAAAAAGTAGAAATTAATAGCGCACGAAAAGAAGACTCAAGCGTAGCGCAGTCGCACGGTGTAGTGAAGTTTATGTATATTTTAAAGTTTTGTATTACTGAACGATTGCATAAAAAATGAACTGAAAATGATTGCTTAAAAACATGGACACATTTAAATTTAACTTAAGTTGTATTTGAGAAAACAAAAAAAATTTATTCGCAAATCCTTTGAAAATATGTGCGCGAAATCGTGTATCTAATATCGTATTTTTGTTGAACAAGAAATGGTAAAAAAGTGAGCGCGTTTTTATAAAAAAAAGTGATTGAATAAAAAACCGTTGAAAAATAAAAGATGCTCAATCGGTTAAATACGAATTTTTTAAATAAAAATATGCGCGCGCCGACAAGTTTCAGCGTAGAAAATTGTGAAGTAACTCGAAGCGGCGAGTTTAGGAAGTGTAAAAATAGCAACAGTTGTACCGATAAAAAAGTAACTGCAAAGTTGTAATAGAAGCCGCTCTCGTTGATCAATCAAAAAAAAAATCAAGAATTGTTTTAAGCCATAAAATTGAATGTTACAACAAAACCGTATTGCATTTGAATGCCTGTTAGTTTGTGTGTAGAGTTCGCTACGTTCAAGTGAAGTGAAAACAATGTCCGCCAACTCAAAAACAACAGCAACAATCANACTGCAAAGTTGTAATAGAAGCCGCTCTCGTTGATCAATCAAAAAAAAAAAATCAAGAATTGTTTTAAGCCATAAAATTGAATGTTACAACAAAACCGTATTGCATTTGAATGCCTGTTAGTTTGTGTGTAGGGTTCGCTACGTTCAAGTGAAGTGAAAACAATGTCCGCCAACTCAAAAACAACAGCAACAATCAACTCAAACAATAACACCAACACTACTGCCACCAACACCAACACCACAACCACCATAACGACCAACAACAATAGCATAAGCCACTGCCTCCGAAGCAGTAGCAACAGCGACCTAACTGCTGCCTCAAGCAGCATTATAAGTACTTCTACAAACAGCACCACCACCACCGCCACCACCAGCAACAACAAAAACACTGCCACAATAAATACCTCCACAGCCAATACATTCTCGAATATAAATAAGAGCGCTGGAGCTACTGGAGCGCCGCAACTTTCACTATTCGATCAGCTGAAGAATAGCGCAAATCTAAATAATATCAAATGCAGTAGCTTCAGTCATAACTTCAACAGCAAACTCAAGTCACAAAATAATCTCACCGATTGGCGTAGATTCGCTGAGGATGACAGCAGCAATAATAGTGCCACCAGTAGCAGCAGTAGTAGCAGTAATAGCAGCCTTTCAAGTGCCAGCGGGCTCGGCATAAAAGACTCTTTTCAGCAACGATTTGTTGCCGCCGTTTTAGGCAACAGCAGCAGCAGCAGCAACAGCAGCAACAGCAGTTGCAGCAGTGACATTTTAAAGTCAACGAAAAAAGACTTGCCACAAGTGGCTGTAAAATTAAGCAATGCAACAATTAACAACAACAGCAGCAATAATAACACTAACATAAGCAAAATGAATGCAACAGAATGCAAGGAAGCGTCGGCTGCTACAAAGCGGCTGGCAAGCGAAACAACTGCCCCCGAGCAGCCAGCAGAATCGGAGGCGTGTAACAATATTTTAGATCTCACTTTGCAGCCTGCCAGGCGTAATATTAATCTTAGAGCGTCGACAATAGAAGCAGCACTAGCAAAAGCTGAGCGGGAGAAAAGTGAAGCCAAGCTAGCGGCAGTGGATGTAATCAGCAATGCCACAATGTCGCCGACATCTTCATTATGCAACAACAGCGTGGCTAAGACAAACAGTAACACCTTCATTAAGGGCAACAGCGCAAGCTGTGGCAAGAAAATAGCGCAGGCTGACAGCAAACTGTCGAGCGTAGCCGCAAACGCCCCAAATGCAGTTAATCTGCTTGCCAGCGGTGAGTGCGAAGGTGTCAATGGGAATGGCAACAGCACTGGCAATAACAACAACGGCGACGCTAATGGCGTGTCAACAATATTGACGGCTACAAGCAAACAGCCACAGCCACAGCCACAACAGCAAAAGCAAATACAATTCTCAATGCCGACACTGCCACCACCCTCAGCTGCATCAGCGTTCACTTCTACAGCAACCAATATTGCTACAGAGCATAAAAATAGCAAGAGTAGCTCATTGACCGCCACTGGCGGCATAGGTGTTGTGCGTGCCACAAAAAGGACGGCTGGTATCGCAGCCGCTGGAGCAACAGCAACAGAAGTGTCTGACGCCACTAACTCAACGCTGAGTAATTTCACCACACCTGCTTGTGTGGCGCCAATGTCAACGCATTACTTCGCACAATGCAAGCGACAAAAACAAGCCGCGCTCACAGCAACAGCAACAGCGTTAAGCAATTCGTCACCTTTTACCGCTGGTTTGCTAAGCGAGCAACAGCAAAAACAATATATGGAAAATTTGAAAGCCCTACTCGATACAGATCAACTCGGTTCGGTTTACGCGCATCATTCGCATAGTGGCAACGATCTCAAAGCCGTCGTCTATTCGGCGCTTACGAGCGCCCTGTGCGGCGGAAATAGTGCTGCAGTAACAGCGGCCAGTAAGCTATTGGCGGCTGCCACCAATCAACAGGCCAAGAAGAAACGCAAGAAGAAGCGATGCACCGATCGTTGCGATTCATCAGAATCATCTGACAGGTGAGTGAAGAAGAAAGCAATGCTTACATATATACATAGAATTTATAGAATTTAAGAAGATTTCGAATGGTACTATATAACAGCAGTTAGTGACGCTCTAGGGGTTTTAAAGTTTATGAACATACACAGATCATATGCCTCGAGCATGGCATTCCTACCCCTTTGGACTTTATATCTTTTCTTGTTGGCTTTCGTCCCCACACAGCCTTCTGTGGTGTGTCTATCAGCCAGTATCAAGTAATAACCGCTACTAGCCTCGTAAGATCAGGTCTGGGGTTTACTAAGAAGTCAAGTTTTATTATGGCGTAAAAATTTCGCTAGATGGCGCTCCTATTGGGTGTAATGGACCCTCACCCTCCTGATAAGCAGCGTAATTTTCAGGCATGTTGCGCAGACTAGGCAAACTATATGAGCCTTGAACTGACTACTAACTCTATTCGAAAGACTTCTTTTTATTCCTTACCGGCTTCGACTTTTTTGTAAAGAGTTCTAGGGCCTTTTAATGGCCGCTCGGTTATCCAAAGAAACTTTCGACACGCTGCTCTTGATGGTGGCGCTTAAAAAGGCGGCAGCCATCGGCGATATGCAGTACTTATGCCTGGAAAGTACTCACAAAGTCAGACGGCTGGATTGATCGTCTGATCGCCAGCCATTCAAAGAAAATGCCTACTCCAACTTCGTGTTCTTTTTTGGTGGTATAGGAAATTATACTACATACTATTGCAGATCGTAGTCATCTGATTCTGAAACCCTGAAGCGGTGTACATTACAGGAAGGTCTATGGGAACTAGGGCATCTGTAGGGAAAGTTCTCATTCTTCCTGTAGTTTCGCTGCATGCGGTCATCTGAAACGGTCCACCGGACCAAGGAACGATAACATAAGATAGGACGTAGAACTGTTGTATATTTATATCCAGAGTCAAAGTTTGGGTTAGACGTCTCCTTTTCCTGAAATCCGCTTGTAAAGTAAAAGGTAATGTTTTCTTTCTTGATACTTAGCTTCTACTTTTTTGATACTTAGGTTCTAATATGACACCCAAATACTTCACTAGTTTGGATGATCGTGGGATGTGACCATTCAACTTTAGTATTTCAGAGTTAGGGACTTTATTCCTGGTTTAAAAGAGCATTACATCTGATTTTTTAGAGTTGTGTCTACAATTGACAACAGCACAAGCTTTACAGAAGTGAGGAAATAACTCCATTCTGATGGGCTGTCCCAGCCAATGTTGCTAGTAGGTATGCAGAAATTTATTTGGTCAAAACTAGTTATTGGTAGTGCTGGGAAGTATCGAGCACTTTTGAGGATCGAGTTATTTGGTATAGATCGGGTATTTTTTAGAGTACTCAGTACTTTCTTTAAATGTACACATGTTGGTAACATTTCAATACTTACTTAGTGTAGAAATCTCACAAGCTGGCAGTATTTTATTCTAATTAATATATGAATCCCAAATTACGTCAAATGAATGGCTAACTATACTAGGTACAAGTTTTGCACTTTAAAATTATTGAATCTGCAAATTGAGTACTTTGAATCGATCCTGAGTACATGTATTGGAACAGAGTATTTTGAGTACTTTCGAGTTCTTTTAAGTTCTGAGTACTTTCGAGTTCTTTTGTGAGTATTTACTGAGTTCTTTGGACTACTCAGTATCGATACTTTTAAAAATCTGGTGCTTGTCTAACCTTTTGAGAATCGATTTCTGAGTACTCTTGGTATCGACACTGCCCAACACTAGTAATTAGTGCTTTGGTCAACCCCCCCATCTAGCAAACACTTTTTATGACACTTAATCTCCCTCGCCAATTCAAAGTTTTATTGGCTTTTTTCCAATAAAAAAGTTTCACAAAAAAATATTTAACACTTCTTAGCATCAATAAATTTTTAACCACTGGTAAGAACACTTATGTACATACCAGCTAAAACACAATGGAAACCTGTTTTCTGTGTGGAAAATAAATATTAGCCATGACTTTAATGGCACTAAAGAATGACCAGTCAGCCAATCGTCGAGCGTTCAATGCAATTTAATTTTATTTATGGCGCATGACTGTCGATTTCCCAAGAGAGTGTTTACAATTGTTTTTTTTTTCGGTTTTGGTTTCGCTCTAGTTTTAATGTGTTGCCGTAGCAGCTGGGAGGGATTAGCTGCGAAGCAAACAAAAAGTGTGCGAAAATATACAAAATATATACATACATATATGCGTTTAAAGATATAAATTACAAAAGAAGTGGAACATTTGGAACGCTAGCTAAAAGCATTTAAATACATATATAGGGGTATAGATAGATAGCTTCCTTCACGGAACTAAAAAGGTAAAAATTCTNGATTAGCTGCGAAGCAAACAAAAAGTGTGCGAAAATATACAAAATATATATATATGCGTTTGAAGATATAAATTACAAAAGAAGTGGAACATTTTATGAACATTTGGAACGCTAGCTAAAAGCATTTAAATACATATATAGGGGTATAGATAGATAGCTTCCTTCATGGAACTAAAAAGGTAAAAAATCGGTACACAGGAAAAGTGCATCATCTATTCTAAGTTAGCTCTTCTTTCCTCGTTCTACCCGAAAACGCATTTAAACTTGTCTGCACTTGGAAGCTTTTCTTTCCCATACATGCTTGTACATGTACATACATGCATGCATTTATGATTATGCACTCGAAAATAGTCATTTCCTGATGGCAACTTGCCATCAGCTATGTTCTGGTTGTTGCTGTTGCTGTTGCTGTTATTTGAATGCGTGTGCGGTTGCNGTTTTTTTTTTATGCTGTCATTCAAACCGGTGTTGGAACCACATAGAAGTTTTTAAAAGATCTTCTTAGCAGGACGAAGTAAGGTTAGATTAAAATGACTGGAGCGTATATTAGGTTCGTCTTCGCACTGTATGGAGTTACCGATCCCTTTCGATGCCAAAGAAAAGCACTCGGGTTTAAACTGCTTTTTTGACTCTGCGAATTTTATCAATGCTCCTGTTTCCAGCTATGGGACTTCGACAAGACCTTGAAAGCCAGTGACAGTGTTGCGCATTTTCTTTTTCTTCTGTGTTTGGTGTGCCCACCCCTAGTCTCGTGGCGTGTAAAACAATTAGGCAGTATAACGAAGAGCTCCTTTCGTTTCGGAATTATCGGCTTTGTAACGAGTTTTGAGAGCGCATTGCAAAAAAGATCTAGAGCTGTCGAAAAGCCGTTCTGTAGAGGCTACATAATATATATCACTGAAATGCTCAATAGTGAATCTCAATTGGTGAAACCCGCACTCCTTCAAGAGTTGCTCTAAAAAACTAAGTGATTCACTTTCCATCGCGGAGATGTGATATTTGATTGTTGACACGAAATTCTTGTTTTGAGCTCGAAAATAAATTCTGATTTCAGGAGAGACCAGCATCATTATTTACAATAAACCAGCAGCACAAGCCGTCAAATGTAAGGGCTCGAATTATTGTTTAATTGAAAATGTACGGTGTACTTAGATGCCCGAAATTGCGCAGCGTTAACTTTTAAATCTGGCTGATCGGTTTATTGGGGGCTTCAAGGTGCTGTCCATCAAGCGGTTTTGGAAAATGCAGCTGATGTGACAACCCCTTACGAGATATGCATAAATTTGTTTCATTCCGGTTACGTAGCCCCCGACTGTGGGAACGACAGTCCGCGCGGATAGCAGTTCTCTAGCATCGTCATTACGCCAATACAAAGCTAAATAAGTAGAGCTATATAATCAAATAGCTTTCTAACTCATGTTTCTCAAACTCATATTTATCCTAACTATTTAAACAGCGCAATGCATAAATTTGCGAACTTTAGTTTTCAAAACCAGTCCATGTAGACTTTTGTGCGATGTAGCACATTCATTTCAAATACATTTGTTCCTCTGGTTTTCCGCCAACATTGTGTTGTTACAGCTGCTTTTAGCGCTTGGCATAAGTTCTTACAATACGGTTTGTTGTTAAACTCATTGTATTTGTTGTTATTGCAATAAAAAATCTTCGCGTGTATTGTTTTAGCGTTGCCAATGCTGTTGTTGTAGCTTTGCAATTTTTTGTTGTTGCTTAACATAAGACTTTACACGATAAAATGTTGTTCCTATTAATTTTGCCATTTTTGCAATTGTTGCTACTCATTGTTTTTTTTTATGTTTTTCGCGTTTGCTGCTTTTATTCAACTTGCAATTCTTCGCTGTTTTCTTTAAGTTAAAGTCTTTATTCTTCAAAGTTTTTGTTTTGTATTTTTCAGCTGTCATTTCTTTTGCTTTAAGTATCGACATTTGTTAATGCCTTATTTGTTGTTTTGTGTACTGCTATAGTGTTTGTTGTAATTGCGGAAGCTGTTGCAGCTAAGTATAGGCTTGTTGACTTTAGTGCTGAATTGATTTTCTTTCGTGCTGCTTGTTTGGTAGTCTCTATTCTGCTTGTAATACCAATGTCGTTTTTATTGTTGTGCAGGTTTTTATTGCTGGCTGTTATTTGTTCTTTTTGTTGTCTTTGTGCATGTTTTCCTTTACTCTAGGTACATAGGTACATATGTATCGCAACATTTCACTTTTATTGCTTTTTTCTTTTGTTTGGTTTGTCTATGTACTCACTTGTCTACACTTCATTTCTTTGAATTTATACTTGTTCTTCGGTTTTTCGGTTATGGTGCACAGCTTCGATGGGTTTATGTTCTGTGATCTGATATTCTTCTTTTACACCGAAAAGAGATGTGAAGTAGCATGTATACCACGATGTATACCATGAAAGACGAAAGATCTTTACGATTAATCTTGAACACTTTGACTGGCAGTTTTTAAGAACCCAAAATCGCTTTTTGGAGTTTATGAGTCCTGCCCACAAGACATATCAAACAATATATTGAATCTCATTTCTCATTTAACTAGAACCCCATCGGCGCCAATTCAACTGCAGAATCTGTTTTTCTCTTTCGGATTTCCTCTGGATCTCAGAGAAGTATCTTAGCGGTCTTCAACAATCTAATGGAAAGAATCTCTTC